AAAAAAAAAAAAAAAAAAAAAAGTCGTAAAATGAAAAAGGTTGAAGGATAACGGAAGTATGTGCCTACGTACATCACCTCCCCCGTTGACTAAACTTGCCCTTCAGGCAAGGTGCGATTTAAAATTCATTGGACATTGTTGCTTGATAGAATTTTGATGTTAGAAATAAGGAGGACGTATAGGGGTGATAGATAAATAATTAATTGCGTAAGCATTTAATTAGCTCATGGGAACCCTGCTTGTCATACCTGAACTAAAGCAAGATTGTCTTTTCAAGTAACGTTGAACTTCTTATTTGCAATAGATTTCTACCCATATTAGCTGGCTCTAAGGTGTTTGTAACTTCATAATGAATTACAATAACTTGATCACCGATTTCAGATCCTTCTGATAGCATCTAAGTTACTAAATCAGTATTTAATGGTAAGCCTAGGAGCCATGCGTAAGTGATTTTGATGGTGGTTTGGCTTTACAATGGTTTTCCATATTGTTTAAAGCAAATCCCGTTCTTAAAAGAGCATATTTGATAGCTCAAGTTTAGAATTAACATGCTGCCTCACTGGCTTATGCATGGGCATTAGAGTGGGTTTAGGGATGCCCTCCCCATCAGACTCGCACACACAAAAAGAAAAGAAAAGAAAATTGTAATATTCAAGTCGTTCCATCTGAAAGTTTGTTAATAAGAAATTAGCAGAATGTTTTGAATTTGACAGTAATTTCAATTTATAATAAACTGCAGTTTACGATCAATTGTTTCCTTTTCCTCTTTTCTTTTCCTCCAGGTTTTATACTTTTGTCTAATTGGGTTCTTGTTATATTGATTCTATATAACTGACTCTTTTTTTTATGCGTTTGTTTTCTTTCTTATTCCTTTCATGCCAAATACAAGTTCAGATGATCTGCCGTTATGGGGTATGTCCTCTGCATGCTGCAGTTTGTTCATTGGTGAGTTTTTATATTAGTTGATGGCTTGCTGAACAAACTTCGGTTTCCATTGTTCAGGCTTTGTTGGAGAGTTGCCTTCAGACAAGAATAGTGAAGATGAAAAGCATATTTTGTACACTCATAAGAATATTATTATTAAATACAACAAAGATCAGGTTTGTGAAAGTTCAAACTTTATGCAGACTTTTGTTGTGGGTACCCACTCAATTGATTTATAACAGCTAATTTTTTGTTCTATAGATTATTCATGTGAATCTTACTCAAGAGAGCCCAAAGTCATTGGAAGTTGGAAGATCTTTGGACATGACATATTCTGTCAAATGGATACCTACCAATGTCACTTTTGCCCGTCGCTTTGATATCTATTTGGATTATCCGTTCTTTGAGCATCAGGTATTCTATTGCTTAACACATTCTTTTCTTTTCAAAGATTAGGATTTTTAAATAATATATATATATATATATATATATATATATATATATATATATTTACACACATATACTGATTACTGTATAGCAATCAGGGTCAAATACAAACCTTCCAAACAGGATACATTTTTCTGATTGCGAAATAGCTTTGCTATCAGCCTTTTCTATCATCTGGTCATATTTCTTGTTCATTGTGCATGTGTTTCATATTTCAGTTGTGTAGCTACTTTGTTTGGCTCTCACTGTTCTATTTTAACCAAATATAGCATATGCTTGAATGTGCAGATCCATTGGTTCTCAATTTTTAATTCTTTCATGATGGTTATCTTCCTCACTGGTTTGGTCTCAATGATATTAATGCGGACTCTTAGAAATGACTATGCAAAATATGCTCGGGAGGATGATGATGATCTGGAGACTCTGGTGATATTCCCTTGACTTTTAATCTCTCTCTCTCTTTCTTGGTTGTCATCGCTCTATCACTTCCTTTTCCACTACGTGATTGCTTAGGTATCTGTTTATATCTGTGGGTATGCGTATATGTTTCCATATATGCATACATATACTTATTGATGTTTTATTTAATTATTTTTAATACTTTGCTGCATGTTTTAGAAATTAACGTTCTCTTATAAATCCATGTATGTTGTATATGTTGTTTTCAGGAACGAGATGTCAGTGAAGAGTCTGGCTGGAAGCTTGTACATGGAGATGTTTTTAGATCTCCTCGCTGTCTGGTTATTCTATCAGCTGTTGTTGGCACAGGTGCTCAGCTAGCAGTGCTTGTTCTTCTCGTTATCTTATTAGCAATTATTGGAATGTTGTATGTTGGGTATGTACGATTTTGCCTTTTATTACCTATAATCTCTACTTTTTCTCTCCACTGAATTCAAAATACTTATTGAATCAATTACCATGTATTGTCAAATCTCTCCATGCCTACTCTTCGGTTTCATTCCATCTCTTAATTTGTCATTTTTTTTTGCAATGGTTCCATTTTGATGCAGGAGAGGCGCAATTATTACCACTTTCATTGTATGCTATGCACTTACATCATCTCTATCAGGTTATGTGAGTGGTGGAATGTACTCACGCCATGGTGGTAAGAATTTTGTCTACTAATCTGCTTGTTATTCTTCTGTATACTTCAATATATTATGCCTGAAGATGGTTTCTCATGCAGTAGAGAATTACTGAGAGGTGCCATTATTGTTTCTTATGTTATCACATTCCATTCAACAGGTAAAAGTTGGATAAAGTCAATGATCCTTACAGCCTCTCTATTTCCCTTCATGTGCTTTGGAATCGGACTCGTTTTGAACACAATTGCTATATTCTATGGTTCTTTAGCAGCTATTCCGTTTGGCACCATGGTCGTTGTTTTTGTCATCTGGGCTTTCATTTATTTCCCTCTAGCGCTTCTTGGTACAGTTGTTGGAAGGAACTGGAGTGGCACTCCAAACAACCCTTGCCGTGTGAAGACCATCCCTCGTCCAGTTCCTGAGAAGAAATGGTACCTCACGCCGTCTGTGGTGTCCTTGATGGGTGGATTGCTACCCTTTGGCAGCATTTTCATTGAGATGTATTTTGTCTTCACATCTTTCTGGAATTACAAGGTGAAGTGCCCTGTTCTTTTGTGCACGTGGTTGATTAAAAGTAAAGATGGTGAGTTTATTGAGTGCAATAGGATGATGAACTCATTACTTATAGCAATTGAGGTGCCAAGGAATTCTCAAAATATCTCCCAATTAGTAGAATAAAAAAGGGTCTCAATCACGAAAACATAGCCGGGTCCTGAATTTCCTCCATGACTGTACTTTGTCTAAAAAAATGCTTTAGTTCATTACTGCCCAAACCTCTCAAGCAAGCACCTCTGTAGAATTAGACCGAAATACCTTGGTACTTGACTTCGTAATTCTGACCATGAAGAAAACACAGGAAATTGAGTTTTGAAACTACATGAAAACTGAATATGATCTCTGACACAAATATGAGTATCCTTCCAAAATGTTTATGTTCAATCTTCTATTTGCTGAATGACCTTAAAGTTAACGAATATTTTTTACGTAGTTATTTCAAGAACCCATCGAGCAATTTTCTTTCGGGTTCTTGCTGTCCTAAGTTTCTTTTCTTTTCTTTTTTCCTTTTATTTTTTTATGGCTTCTTAGGATTGAGTAACAATATTTTTAGAATAAAGATAGGCTAGGGTGAAGGTTTTTGGCTATATTCCACAATTATTTTGTACCTACTCGATCATTGTTATTACTTTTGTTAGGGTGGCGTGTTGTGCCATCCTCTTCGCTCTTTTCGTATTTTCGAGCATTGACATAATATGGTTTCTTATCAAAAGAAAAAAAAAATGACAGAAGAAATCATTTGATGTTGGTGGTTTTTGTGGTAATACTTGCATAAAATTTATGGGAAGCATCACATTGGTTCACATTATTGTTGAACATGGTTTTTCAAAGTTATAACTTTCAACTCTTTTTTATATTTTTTATCAGCAGGTGTACTATGTCTACGGCTTTATGCTGCTGGTTTTTCTGATTCTCATTATTGTTACTATTTGTGTGACAATTGTTGGGACATATTTTTTGCTCAATGCTGAGAACTATCACTGGCAGTGGACTTCTTTCTTCTCTGCAGCCTCCACTGCTGTTTATTTGTTCTTGTACTCAATATACTACTTTTATGTTAAGACAAGGATGTCAGGCTTCTTCCAGACAAGCTTCTATTTTGGATATACATTGATGTTCTGTCTCGGTTTAGGAATTTTATGCGGTGAGTCGTCGCATCGTTACTAAGTTTCTTCTTGCTCTTCCTAATTTTTCATTTTCATAATCTATTCTATAAATTAAATTCAGTTTTTCAAGCGACTGCGGTGGACTTTTTGCTCGTAATCTTTTATTAAACTTTCGAAGTCATCGTGTTCCATTCAATGCCTCTAGTATTCTGTAAGAACATTGCTTTAGTGTGGGATTTGATCTAATTTTCTGAATATGCAGGAGCTGTGGGCTATCTTGGCTCCAACTTGTTTGTGAGGAGGATCTACAGAAACATCAAATGCGATTAAGGGTCGGTACATGAGAAAGAAGGAAGACTGCACTCGGCTTCACTTTTCGCTCGATCACGTGTTTCGACTTCCCCAGAAGAAGCGATCGTGTCATAGTGCAGGCAGGTAATATCATGCAAACTTCTGTTGAATTGAACTCTTGAGTGTTAGTGTTTGTGGGTGCATGGTTTTTATGCATTAGGAGTGCCCATGATTTTTTTCTTTTGTGATTCTCCGGCTGTAAGTTAGATTTCGTTCACGAGAAGAGCAGAGATCTTTTTTCCCTTTTAATGATATAGAAAAGTTGGCAAATTCATATTGCACTCTTGAGTAACTTCTTGTTCATTTCTCCTGGCCTCCCATTACAAATCGTTACCCATCTTTTGGAACAAGGTTATATTGGAGGGAGTTTTCTTATGCCTAACTTTACTTAGAAATCGACATTATATTTGAATTTTGTTTGGGACCGTGAGGAATCCCGATGTAGGTAGCCCGATGCAGGTGCTACCTGTGTGGATAAAATATCAATTATCATCTTAAAGGTTGATGGTTCAATTCACCCAAAATTGTACTTAACAATGTCTAATGATGGAAAATGACATGAATCTTTGATTGGCTTTGGGGCATTTGTGCTCATAATTGATGCCTTTTGTATCTATGTTTAGCTTTTAACGTTTTGTGGTTTCTAAGGAGGATGATCAAATCCCGATATTTCATGAAAGGTGTTTGTATAGGTCAATATAAGAATGAACACTTTTTTTAGGGGATGATTCAAAAGCCATTGTGAGATCCTACGTAGATCTCACGAAGTGAACCACTAATCAAGATCATGAGATATGTTGGTCACGTTTTCTTTTCTCATTCACTATAGAGTTTTCAACTTACTTAGGTTAAATTTATGTATTTTCAATTTCATAACTTTTATGTTGGGTTTTAATCTGACTTACCAAAATTTTTAATTTAAAATAAAAACTAATTACATTATGAGTTTATTTCAAGTTATTAACTAAAAGCTGACTAACTTAACTCTAAAACAGTTCCTATCTCTTTTGGTCAACTTAAATACTTCAACATTGGGTCTTTATAGTAATTTTCTATTTATAATTCATTCATTATTAATTAGATATTAATTAATAAACTAATGAATATAAATATATTAACCTTTTCTAATCCTATTAAAAATTTATTCATTTAATGAATAATCTTAAATTTCTATAATGTAAGTCCTATATTTAGATTTTATCTAAATGACATATTATATACAAACATAACATCACATGCATAATTAAAAAAAAAAAACAACGAACAGATTTGACATCCTATAAGTTATAAATAAAATAAATTAAATTTAAATAATTTAAATCTAAGACAGGGGTTTTCCAGATGCTTTATATTTTAAGCATACAAAAATTAAGGTTTTGAAATTGTAATTTCACCTCTTTTGTATTTTTGATAAAATTTGTAAAACAATATATTACTGCATAACAAAATTTATGCATCATTACTGTCTTACTGTATGTTTGATTTTGGATCAGAAAGTTGTAGGTTCGACTCCCACTGTGATTGTTATCAATTTTGTGTCGGGATTAACACATATGTAGTTGATGTGTGCGTATTACTCTTGGGTTGAGGCCACATAGTTCAAGTCATATAAATATTTGTAGCGTAGTAGATTAGCACGTCTACTGCGCCAACAAAAACAAAAACGCCAGTTTAATTGCCATGGAAAAAGGAACATAAACACCCTTTTTTACTAAAAAAATTGATAATATTTAATTTCGCAAGCCCTTTCAAATTCGACCGCATAGCGCAGTGGATTAGCGCGTCTGACTTCGGATCAGAAGGTCGTGGGTTCGACTCCCACTGTGGTCGTTGTTTCTTTTAGATTTTTCATTTATTCTCTCCCCTCTCCCGCTTTCTTCCCGTTAGCTTCTTCAGTCGTTTCTAAAACCCACCAAATAGAAAGACGCAGTTTTTGGATAAACTAGGGTTTACCTCTCTTTCTTCCCCGATTCCATCACTGTAAGTTCTCTCTTTCTCAAATTTCATTTTCTCATTCTCCTCAACACTTTCAATTTAATGCCTGCTGCTCATCTTTCTCTCTCGCTCCTTCCACGCTTTTCGAGTTTTTTCAAATCTGTTATTGATTCTGATGCACACTTCCCCCTTCCCTGTTTGATTTCCTACGGAAACACAACTGATATCGATGCTGTATGAATAACTTTATGCTAGTTTTGTTGTTTTTTTTTTTTTTTTTTTTTTAATTATAAGATTGAAGCATGAATTCCATCTCCAATGACTCACTGCTAGGTCTTGTTAATACTGTTCGCATGAAATTCAAACTTTCTTTTCGTTCTTCATATGTTGCAGTTGTAAAGATATTGGGTGAGCATTTGCCGTTTGAGGAAAAATGGCTTCAGTTGGGCCGTCGCCCTCCCTTAAGAAACGGGAGTCGTCCGCGACGAGAGAGGAGGATCAGCTTATTATAACTCCTCTTGGGGCTGGCAATGAAGTGGGTCGGTCCTGCGTTTATATGTCTTACAAAGGCAAAATTGTGTTGGTATGCTTTGAATTCTTCATATTTTCCCAAGTATCTGGGTATTACGTACAGAATTATAATTGCTTAATCGGTATTCTTCTGTCCCCTTCACTTTTGTTGGATGATAGTTTGATTGTGGAATTCACCCCGCCTACTCTGGCATGGCTGCTTTGCCTTACTTCGATGAAATCGACCCGTCAACAATTGATGTCCTGCTCATTACCCAGTATGTAGTTCTTTCGTTCTATCTTTCTGAAATGCAGCTTATATAACTCAAATGCTTGCATTTTAATATTCCTTCTTAGAAAAATTAGCGAATGACAGTGGATGGTTATTTGTTATGGCACTCGAGCACGATTTTTGGTTACTGCTTTAAAATCTTTGCCCTTAATGATAAAAGCCTTTATTTTCTGATCTCATTTTTTTCTCGATACGTATTCTGCATTTTGTTAAAACTGATGTCTCGTAATAAAAATCAATGTCTATGTGAGCATGGAAAACAGAAATATACGTGAGGAGAATGGCAGTTCCCTACTGTTTCTCTCTTTAGCTGTTCCTGACATGAGATTCTAATTGTCCCTGCTTTCTCTTCTTCCTTTTCTTTTGTGTTCTGTTAACTAAGATGATTTTATTCACACTTACTTGTAGCTTTCATTTGGATCATGCTGCATCACTCCCTTATTTTTTGGAGAAGGTACATTACTTTCTAATTGAATTGCAATGTGATTCCTCTTTAAGGACAGAAACTGATTTAGTATTAGTATGATAGACTACATTCAAAGGGCGAGTTTTTATGACTTATGCTACAAAAGCGATCTACAAGTTGTTGCTGTCAGACTTTGTGAAAGTGAGCAAAGTTTCCATTGAAGATATGTTGTACGATGAGCAGGACATAAATCGTTCCATGGACAAAATTGAGGTAAACGATTTCTCATAATGGATGTCTCCTGGCTTGCTGTTTAATCCATGGTGATAAATATGTATCGAATTTGTTGATAGGAAATTTTAGTGATTCTACCAAACTCATACCTTCTAATAGAAATCTACTTGACGTTTTATTTGGAAATAGTATTTTCCTCCCTCACTATCTATGATCCCTTGTCCCCTTCTGCTGTAGTTCTTTGTTAATTTTTTCCATTAAAATGCTCGAACTCTGTTCTTATAGTTTTCAGCATAAAAAATAATTGAATTTTGTTGTATTCGTGCATTTTTCTCTGATTTTATGATTAAAGTATATAATGATTGAATGTTATATTTCTGAAATTAACTTGTATAAGAAACAAATAGAAACAGAACAATTGAATACCCTTCCATATAGTTTTTGAAGCTGAAAACAATGGAAATGCATATAGTTTTTAAAACAATTTCTGGAAAGAGAAAACCTATGCAGTCCTCAAGCTTTCTAAATGATTCCCCAGAAGCTTCTTATTGAGGGAAAATTAAAATAAAAAAGATATCTGTATGATATTTGTGTTACTGACCCTCCCTGATTATAACAATATCAATGAGCAATCTGTACCGAAATGCAGATTGTTTTCTGTTTGATTATATTGTTGTCAACTTGCATATATTTCATCTCTATGCTTCCTGATTTGCAATGATGAAAATGGACTTCAGTTCTTCTCTTGTTTAATAATAGTGCACAGTAATTGCAGGTCATTGATTTCCATCAAACAGTAGAAGTAAATGGTATTCGGTTTTGGTGTTACACTGCTGGTCATGTGCTTGGTGCTGCCATGTTTATGGTAGATATTGCTGGTGTCCGAGTCCTCTACACTGGAGACTATTCACGTGAAGAAGACCGACATCTTCGAGCTGCTGAAATGCCTCAATTTTCTCCTGATGTTTGCATAATTGAATCTACATATGGTGTCCAGCTCCATCAACCTCGGCATATTCGAGAAAAGCGCTTCACTGATGTTGTACATTCAACCATTTCTCAAGGTGGTCGTGTGCTGATTCCAGCTTTTGCCCTTGGACGTGCCCAGGAACTCCTCCTTATTCTTGATGAGTATTGGGCAAACCATCCAGAGCTTCATAATGTTCCCATATATTATGCTTCTCCTCTGGCAAAAAGATGTTTGACCGTATACGAGACGTACACGCTTTCCATGAACGATAGAATCCAAAATGCCAAATCAAACCCCTTTAGATTCAAGTACATATCCCCACTAAAGAGCATTGAAGTTTTTAAGGATGTTGGCCCATCAGTGGTGATGGCCAGTCCTGGTGGCCTTCAGAGTGGCTTGTCCCGACAACTCTTTGACCTGTGGTGTTCTGATAAGAAGAACTCATGTGTGCTTCCTGGTTATGTCGTTGAAGGGACACTGGCTAAGACTATAATCAATGAACCAAAGGAAGTCACCCTCATGAGTGGACTTATGGCTCCTCTTAACATGCAGGTTCATTACATTTCCTTCTCTGCTCATGCCGACTATGCACAGACCAGCGCGTTCTTGGAAGAGCTCATGCCGCCCAACATAATTCTTGTCCATGGAGAAGCTAATGAGATGGGGAGGCTCAAACAGAAGCTTATGTCCAAGTTTGCTGATCGTAACACCAAGATTCTTACTCCAAAGAATTGTCAATCTGTTGAAATGTACTTCAACTCCCAGAAGATGGCAAAAACTATTGGAAAATTGGCCGAGAACACCCCTGAAGTCGATGAAACGGTCAGCGGATTACTGGTGAAGAAAGGATTTGCTTATCAGATAATGGCACCAGATGATCTACACATCTTCTCTCAGCTATCAACTGCAAACATCTACCAGCGTATCACGATTCCGTA